CGACAATTTCTTCCAGCGATTGCAATCTGGGATCTTTTTCCTTTTTTTTGTTTCAGGCTGGATTGGCCAAGTTGATTGGCCTTGCAGGAGAGACCAATGTCCAGGTGAGTTGGAATTGCAAACTTCGATTCGATTGCAAGGTTTTCCGTACATTTTCCTGTACAGGGTGAAGAACAGAAGAAGCTGGATGTGTTGTCGAACGATGTTTTCGTCAAGGCGCTTAGCAGCAGTGGAAGAACTGTGAGTAAAAATCCATGCTTGCCTACTCTCTAAAGATTTGCTCAGAATGTTCTTGTGTCCGAGGAGCTGGAGGAGGCGATCTTTGTGGAGGCATCTCACCGTGGCAAGTAAGTAGACTATAACTCAAACGTCGCTAATTCTTTTTTCGACTGATCTTAGATACTGTGTGGTCTTTGATCCTCTGGATGGCTCGTCTAACATCGACTGTGGTGTTTCGATTGGAACTGTAAGCCCTTTCCACTAGATTGATCGTCAAAACCAGGTTTTGCTGCAGATTTTTGGGATTTTTCTACTGGATCATGACAACGCAGGCAGCAACGATGATGTTCTCAAGCCTGGCAGTGAAATGGTCGCGGCTGGGTATTGCATGTACGGTAGCTCATGCACGGTAAGAACTTCACAAACTTACAAAGTTTAATGCTTTGTTCTTCTCTTAGCTCGTGTTTTCTACTGGATCGGGCGTGAATGGGTTTACTCTAGATCCATCCCTGGGAGAATTTATATTGACACATCCTGACATTAAGGTAAGTTCGTATAAGATGATTCCTTTCATTATTACAATGGATGATTGTGAGATGCCCAAGATCGATGATTGCTTCTTTGCAGATACCAAAGAAGGGAAAAATTTATTCCGTGAATGAGGGCAATGCAAAGAACTGGGACGAGCCCACTAGATTGTAAGTTTGGTATTTTCTTTTCAAAAAGTAAGATTTTGGTGAATTATTTGATTTATGACAGATATGTGGAGAATGCAAAGTTCCCCAAAGATGACTCGTCACCAAAGTCGCTCAGATACATTGGCAGGCAAGATTACTCCAAATTTTATATCGAATTCTCAGTTTTTAAGAATATTTTGTCAAACTTTGATTTTTAGTATGGTAGCTGATGTCCATCGCACACTTTTGTACGGTGGAATTTTCATGTACCCAGCTGACAAAAAGAGCCCCTTTGGAAAATTACGGTAAGAAAGAACTCTTTCCTGGAAATTTTTTTTTTCACTCACTCTTTTTTAACCAGAGTTCTCTATGAGGTGTTTCCAATGTCCTATCTAGTTGAGCAAGCCGGGGGTCAAGCTTTCACAGGAAAAGAGCGGGTAAAAATTAGCTTTTTAACTCCCGCTTGTTCTAAAATCTATGTTTCTAGGCACTCGATCTAGTCCCCAAGCACCTCCACGAGAGGTCTCCAATTTTCTTGGGGAGCTACGACGACGTAGAGGAGATAAAAAAGCTGTACAGTGCAACCATCGCTTAAACTATTGATTCAATCTCAAGCGAAGTGAAAACAATAAACCTGTGGTGGAAAAAATTCTCTTCAACGATTTGCCTTGGCAACACGTTCGATCTCGTCCTTCTTTTTGATCGCATAGCTGATGCAAACAAGCACAGAAGGAGCTCTTAGTTTCTTTCAAAGCATGAGCTAGAACAATGTAGGAAGTACCTGTTGGACGATCCCTTTGCAGCATTCATCAGCTCGTCAGCAAGGCACTCGGCGATGGTCTTGATGTTACGGAAAGCACTCTCGCGAGCTCCAGTGGTGAGCAAGTAAATCGCCTGATTGACACGCCTCAAAGGGGAGATATCCACAGCCTGACGCCTGATAACACCAGCGGAGCCAATACGGGTAGCATCTTCGCGAGGACCACTGCAAAGAGAAAGAGAGAAAATCCAAAACTGTCCTGGAATCCTGCTCACTTGAACCTCTATACCTGTTGATGATAGCATCGACAATAATTTGGATCGGGTTGGCGTCCGTGAGCAAGTGAATGATCTCCATTGCATGCTTCACAATGCGACCAGCCATCAACTTTTTTCCGTTGTTCCTTCCGTGCATCATCAAAGAGTTTGTAAGCCTGGAAAGGAACACAAAAAAGGATTTTTCACAAGAGCTCGACAGAGAAAAAGGAGATTTTGATCGCACACCTCTCGACAATTGGACACTGCGCCTTCCTGAATCTTTTCTTGGAGTAGCGCCCAGCGGTGTGTGGAACATACGTGGCACGCTTAGCCGAAATGTAGTCTTCGAGCGAAATATCGTGCACCTGGAATGGAAACGAAATCCCGCTCTCGGGATCAATCGATCAATCGATCGGCGCGCGCGTACCTCGATCTCCTCGTACGTCCAGGCATTGAAGAGCTTCACATCGGCGAGGCCAGCCGGCTTGGGCTTCTCGACTACCGGCGCCGCCATGTTGTCCCGCTAAACCCTATAAAACCCAAGAACCCTAAAATTCCTTAGAGCGGTCCTAGGTTCGATTCCAACGCCCAGCAGGAAAAAGGAAATACAATTTTTTTTTCCTTCGTTTTTCCCGTTACGCTGTGTTCTTCGTGGTCTATGGCGGCATTCTCGTCCAAGCGCGTTGGCTGCGTCAAGGAGGCATTGGCGATCCTCGGGAAAGCCATCGCGACCTCCTGCATTGCTCGCCGGAAGCGCGGCCATCGCTTTCAGGGAAATTCCATTAAGCATCTTTCGAGCGAGCTTAGGTTAAGACCGCGGCACTGTAGCAGCGCTAGAGATCCTCAATTCTAGGGAGATTCCATCGCCGGATGCAAGAGGACGTGCTCCAGTGCTAGGGACGATTTCTTTTTCTTCTCTCACTCTCTCTCTCTCTCTCTCTCTTTCTGGTCGCCCGCCTGCACGACGCAAGAGGGTCAGATCTAGATTCGTGCGCTCATTGCCGCTGGGACGCTGATATTCCCGCGGCCTTTCACTTTCGCGCGAGTGCTCCTCCCTTTCTTCCCTTTCTTTCGATCCAGATTCCAGGTGTGAGAGAGAGGGGCTAAAAATTGGGAGCTAAGGGTGGATCAGGGAGAGCGATGATCGTCGTTTTGCGCGGCTCTCTCGGATTGCTTTGTCAGCGGGAGAAAACGTCAAAGACACGGCTTTGGAACTTGTGAGAGCCGGCCGTCGTCAAATTTGACCCAGGAGCGCGACTGGGCCTCGCGAGATCTCTCAGCTCTGTGAGGTAAGCTTTTTCTTTCTCAGAGGAGGCCTAGCAGCAAAAATGATACTCAGTGTTTGGGGAATTCCTCCAGGGTCTCAAGGAAGAAGGATGTTCTTCTCCAAGAAGAAGCACCGGAGCAGCATGAAGCCCGTGCTCTACGACGACGAGGAGTGTATCAGAGTCGTCAAAGGTACTAGCAACAGGATAGAGCAGCTCACAGGTGTTGGGAGCTTGCGGCTGGCAATCGTTCTATCGGCTATGGTGTTCATGTTCATGTACTTCATGTTCGTCTTCGGGGGCCCCGGGTGTGGAGTTCTCTACTCGTGCAAGCACAGCGACGATGAGGCTTTCAGGCAGGCCGAGGAGCTCAACCGGGCCATCGAAGCCCAAGACGACTTAGAGCGGGACATGGTGAGATACTTGGACGACGATCTTCCGCCCATGCAGGAAGAACAGCAGCCTTTCCACAGCAGTATGGCGCCCTCGCACGAGCCGGAGAAAGGGTCTTCTCCGGCTCCCGGGTACGAGACGGGGCTGGCCAACATAGTTTTCGGGATCGCGGCGTCGGCCAAGCTGTGGGAGAAGAGGCAGGAGTACGTGAAGCTGTGGTGGCGGCCGGGGGAAATGCGGGGGTTTGTGTGGCTGGACAAGGCGGTGAGCAGCTGGTCCAAGGCGCTGCCGCCGATGAGGATCTCCGAAGACACGGCCAAGTTCAACTACACCAACAAGAAAGGCGGGCGGTCGGGGATCAGAATCTCTCGCGTCGTGTCCGAGACGTTCCGGCAGAACCTCACGGACGTGCACTGGTTCGTGATGGGAGACGATGACACGATGTTTGTTCCTGAGAACTTGGTGAGGATCTTGTCCAAGTACGACCACCGCAAGTTCTACTACATTGGCTCCCATTCCGAGAGCCACACTCAGAACATCCATTTCTCGTACAACATGGCTTACGGAGGTGGTGGCTTCGCGATAAGTTATCCTCTCGCCAAGGCTCTCGCCAAGGTCCAGGACCGATGCATTATGAAGTACCCCTACCTTTACGGCAGCGACGATCGAATCCAGGCTTGTCTCTCCGAGCTCGGAGTTCCTCTCACCAAAGAACCGGGATTTCACCAGGTATGTGTTTGAAGTTCTTGCTTCTTTCTTTAGTTTCTTACGTTTTGTCTCTCTTCTCCTGGCAGTTCGACATATATGGGGATGCGTTTGGACTCCTCGCAGCACATCCAGTGACTCCGCTCGTCTCGATCCACCACCTCGACTTGATCGACCCCGTGTTCCCAAACACTACGCAGATTGAAGCGCTCAGGCACTTCAAGAGCTCGATGAGAGTGGACCCAGGGGGTGTGCTCCAGCAGTCGATTTGCTACGACAAGTACAAGAGATGGTCCATCTCGGTGTCGTGGGGATATGCTGTCCAGGTCTACAGAGGGATACTTCCTCCACGGTTGCTGGAGCTGCCAATGCGGACCTTCTTGAGCTGGTATAGAAGGATGGACGACATTGGCTTTCCTTTCAACACCCGGCCATTCTTGAAGAGTCCGTGCGAGCAGCCAACTATCTTTTACATGAAAGAAGTTGGCTATGGCGACGAAGCCGGGGAGACGATTAGCAGCTATAGTCGAGACCGTCGGCAGCGAGGAGGAGGAGAGTGCAAGTCGACGCTCCAGCACTCTCCAGGCTCTCTGGAGGAGATTATAGTGACGAAAGAACAGGCCGACGATTCTTGGCACTTGGTAAGTGCTGTTTCGTTTATTTTTCTACCATTTCTCCTTTGTAGTGTTGCTAACCTGTTTTGTTGTGAATGCAGGCCCCGAGAAGGCAATGCTGTAGAGTCGTGAAATCCACCAAGAAGATGATTGAAGTTAGCGTTGGAAACTGTGAAAGCGGGGAGACCATCATTTGATTGTGAACGAAATTTTTGATCAGCGATGTACATAGAAAAACTATAACAAAATTATTTTGTGAGGAATAAAATCTTGGCCGGCAGCATAACTTAAAATCTTTGTCTTTTTCTCATTTGTATACTAAACATTGCTGGATGAGTACAAAAATCAATAATATATACAATTTTCTCTTTCTCTTTTTCTTCTCTCTTTCTCTCTATTAATATTATATAGCATAGATTATATATTTAGAATATTAATATATTCTTAATTTGGAAAAAGAATAATTACTGATTTGGAACACTAAGATTTTACAAAATTTAATACTTAACCCAGAAGACATAAAATAAAAATTTCTACGAATAATTTTTTATAGTTAATAGAATATGAATATATTTAGTACACTCCCAAACCAAAAAATTAAATCAAGAATTACTTAAAATTAATTTTATTAATTAAATATTATATGTAAAGTATATTTTTTACTTGGGATACAAACAAATTTAGAATTAAAACTACTAGGAAGCATTATTTAATTATTATGTGTTTACTTGGAATATGACTAAATATATAACATTAATATATTACTCAGACCTAAACAAAGTCTAACCTAGAAAAACAAATTGTTAGAAATAAATAAAAATAAATTAGTTTAATATTTATTTAATATAAATATTAGCAGAGAATTACTTTGCCATGTGCTTTACTTAGAATATAGAACAATAAAATTTGAAGAACACTAATACTACTACCCAGACCCAGGTAAAACTAAAAAAATAATTGTTATTAATATATATTAGATACAAATTATAAATTTAAAACTTGATATTCCATAGTACTAATAAACCATGTTTGTAGTTAGTCAAAAGATTTATAAAGGTGTTTAATTTGCCAGACCTTGACTATCAATCTCATGTTTGAAATGTAAGTCTTGTGTCTAGAGAGAGGCAATCTATATGGAATTGTTGTAATTACCAGATCAATACATCAGTATAAACAAAGAATTACGTTATCAATTGGTGAGGGGTGACTCTATCTATCAATTAAACATATACATAAAGAAGAAAAATGTATGATAAGGTAATTGGGATCTCAATTATATTAAGTGATTGGGGCAAGTTTAAGTGAAAATGAATTTTAATCATAGGAAATGATATTCTTTCCCAATGGTTTTGCCACTTGAGCAACATCTACTACACAATCACCACCAAACTCAGCAGCCATGCTCTACAAAAACCCCAAGAGCTCTTGTTCTCATGCCCATACAATCCCTTATGTTAAGAGTTTTCCAAGAGCCAAAAAAATTGATAAGCAATGCAGGAGGGCCATAGACCCATAGCAAGCAACATTTTTTGTTGCCTGCTGTCCATGGCTTGTGCCTAGCAATTCTTTGCCCCAACACCCTGTCTCCCAGATCTGTGCCCATAAATTCAAATGGTAAACACTCACTAGAGAACTGAGTGCTAGTAGCAGACTGGATCAATCAATTTCCCACGACACTTAGGATGTTGGCACTCCACTTGGCACTTCACTACTCCAGAGTGCTGGCCATAGCGTTCCACTACTAGTCCAGCCCTAGGGAAAGAAGTGAGAACTTTTGCAAAAAGGATCAATAAAATAGCATATGTATGAGCCAAATATGGCAAACTCAACATGCCCATCCATAAACCCTGGAGCTCCTGGCCTCCATCTTGGGTGGCTGCTAACACCACAAACATCCTCATGCTTGAGCAGGATGGTGTTGGTCAGTGGCTGCCTCCTCTTTTGCTTCTCTATAGACCCTAGAGCTCCTAGGCCTACAAGCTCCTAGGCCTCCATCTTTGGTGCTGGGCAATATGCTTCCCCTGGAAACTTTGTGGCTGAGAGGAGCTGTGGTAAAAGGAGAGTTTTATCCCTCCTAGGTCACACAAAGAAACAGGTATCACTCACACCTTCTCCCCACAGCCTGAGCTGTACTTCACACCTAAACTTTGAAAAGAGTTTTTGAAACTTACATCCAATTGTGCTAATTGGCCAGATCTAACGGCCTAAAAAGTTCAACAACTCCTCCTTGGCCAAGAAGGAGTCAATGTATAGGAGGAAGAAGGATTCACGCTCTACCTCCACTTCAAGTCATAAAGGATCCTATGGAGATAGCTTCTGGATAGATCTTTAAGAAGAGTACTATATTGAAGTGGTTCTCAGCTGGAAAGAGGACATGTTTGACAACTAAAGTGGAGCTAGACTTGTTGGAAGTGAAGTTGAAGTTTGGTGGAGAGTCCTGCAAGAGACTTTGAGGTTGCAATCTAGCATCAAGTTGATATAATGGATTCCAAATATAACTATGTGGCATATAGACAATATATTAAAAATGAAAGCACATTATGGAATAGAAAATGAAAGTGCACAGTACTTTAATCAGCCTTGAATGCAATAACCTTTGGCAAGCTTTGATTGGCATTAGTGGAGAATACAAAGTGGCTTATTGGTGGCTTCTTTGTCTCTAAGAGTTTGATTGCACCGAGCATTTGAGCAGAAGTGAACATCTTTAGAAACTGGCTAGGAGTGAAGTCTATATAAGTGTCCTCCATGCAAACATCTTGGGGGTGGCCACTATTTGGATAGAATTTGCCATGGACCCACAAAGTTTGGAAAAATGTTCATTTGTTCTTGCAATGGTGGCACCAACTAATATCTCATGTTTGTTTTTCGATTCTAAGCTTTTTGCAAACATGGCAACTGCAATAAATAGAGATTTCTTGAGGGTTTTCAAGGATGAAGTGGCCATGCACCTATTAATAAAACATGCATTATGAGCTACGAAAAAAAGATTATGAAAGACATATATTGAACTTCTTTCTATATATGAATGAGACAAAGTGTAGTTACTTCTATAGATGGTCCCAAGGCATATTGTTAAGAATTTTTAAGACAATAGTGGAGGGTGCAATGTTGAACACATTTTTATCCTTAGCTGGAGACTATAGAAAATATAATTTGGCATCTCCCCAGCAAACCATGGCAATTTGAGCTTATGATAGACATGGTCCATATTGACTTACTTTTGAAGTTCACAAAAAAAATTTAATCAGAATATTATAAATACTTTATAAATGAACATGATGTTTGTAGTGTTATGCATTTGATCCACACCAATGATTGCCATAGCAAAAGTATAAGTAGAAGCATCATTTGCAAACTAACTCAGTGCAATAATGTCTGATGGCCTGACAAAGTCAAAGCACTAAAGGAGCCTTCTCTAGCTATGCTCGAACATGTGTGGCCATAGAAATATTAGTTGAAAAATGATAGAGTTGTAAATGATATTTCAAATTCTTAGCTCTAACCCTATAGTGTTGAATACATAGTAAGTTAAATGGCTTGAAAAGCCTTAATATTGATTTCACTGACAACTATAGCGTGTTGTGACAGCTTCGATAGTAGCCAATGATGTTGATGAAGATAGCCAACCTTGATGTCAATGCCATATTTGTTGAGTGGACCTTATGTTGGAAATCATAATTGCCATACCAAGAATATACATATATAAGAAGTGGCTCACCACCCAAATGAAATACTTATGAAATAATTGCTAAGTATTTGGTTTATATATATTTATAAACCATGATTTACAAAACCGTAACTATAAAGAAAAATTACACTTGTAGTAATATTCAATAAATGGATAAGAGACTTTATAAATATATAAGTATTTTAATTGATTAAAAAACCTACTTTCATTAAATTATCCACTTTACAACTGTTTGTAGAAAGCATTTGAATTTATAATAAATCCTTTCTTAAAAAATGAATGTTTCTTTTGGTATAATTATAGACAATTTTTATTATTAAAAGAATTTGTTGCCCACCAAACTTTATTTGGATATTTTGCTTCATAAGATACTAAATTGCAATCATTTTGTAAAGTAAGAGATGTTAGTTTTAAACAATTTGAACAATATTTCTTATTAGACCATACTATTTTTTTATATTTATTATATAAAACTATATGACCATTAGTTTTAACTTTCAATACACATAAATCATAATATTCATCAATATTATCTGATCTCCATATTAATACAGTTCTAGAATATAGAGTAATTTTGCAATTACTCTCGACTAATAATATATTTTTTTGATTTGGAGAAATTATAAATTGACCTGTATAAAGGCTGTCATGTTTTGATCCAGCATTTAAAGTTGTTAATGTAATATCACAATTCTCATTAAAATTTTAATGAATATTTATTTTATGAAATAAAGATTGGCCATAGTATTTTCTTTGTTGTAAATTAGACCCAGGTGACCAAGATAAAACATTATAACCAATTTGATATTTTCTTGATGTAAAAGTGCATTCATCAGAACATGCTTGAAGCATATCATCCCTGAATAAATTAAATAAATATTCAAATCCATATCTTAATGTTCTAGGTCGAATATTAGCTTTTGATGTTTCTCCCGTTGAACATATAGGAGGATTACCATCCATACGCTTAAATTGTACAATTATTATTGCTCTACCAATATGAACTTCTATTGTATTTTCATAATTTGCTTTATATCCTTCATGATGTTTTGATAAATTTATACTAGTTATAAGCTCTTCAAATCCATCACTAATAATCATTCCTATTTCATCTTTGTTTAATGTATTATTTTTTCCCCATTCACTATTTGAATTTTTTGGTGAATGCATTGTATACATATAAATCTTTAAGAAATTTAGAAGTATAAATAGATTAAATAAAATAATTTTATTCATAATTTTAAATATAATTATTAATTTCCTATGATATTAGAAATTAGGAGATCTTGGATTAGAATCTTTTAAGGTGTCACTTAAAAATAAAAAATAATATAATATTATTGTTATATTTGATATTGACAAATGTTAATTTATCATCTTTAAAATATTACTATCTAATTTACCACTATTCTTAGAGTTTATTTAATTTAAAACTTATACTGTTGTTATATTTATATAGTTAAATAATTGTTCTAACTTCTTAAATGTGCCAATTTAAATTACCTCTTTCGAAAAATTAAAAGAAGAATGTTTCTTGTATATTTTACTTCTTAATACATATGAATATATAACTTTTTTTTTTAAATTTTAATTTTCTAAATTGTA